TGCTGCTCCCGGGCGCCCGTGGGAGGTGCGGGGAAGGCGCCCCCGTGGGCACCCGGCTCGGAGCCCCGGGGGGAAGCCCTAGAGCAAGGGCGGGCGTCGGAACCCTTAGTGACCTGGAGCCTTTCAGGCCACCCCCCTCCTGAACTAGGTAGGGGCTTCCCCCTGGGGGGGGGGGTCGGAGAGGACTAGTAAGAGATTCCGTTTGTGGTCGGCCCTGCTCGAAGTGTGACTTCAGATGGCCGATGGTGCGGGGAGCGGTGAAGTCAGCGGAGCCCCCTGTCCAAGGGGGCCTCCTCTCGAGTAAGCGCTGGTGGGGTTGCACGGTGATTCCCCCCCCCTTTCTCCCTATTAGGACCTGCGTTTAATAATCCCACCCTCCTTAGCGTTTTAAGCCCACCTGAACGGACAGACCCGAAAGGGGCTTAGCCTTCCTCAGAGCAGGAGCGAAGCCCCGCCAGCTCAGAGCGAAGGGATGCGATGCCCGCTCGCCGCCCGCCTCTCTCTCTCCACCGGCGGACAACCAGTCGCCACGAAGGGGTGGGCGACACACACCCCCACACACGCACACACACACCCCTGCTGCCCCCACCCCCCTTGCCAGCAACTCCTCTTTGGGACCGGGCGCTCCTTCCCTGGAGGCTTTGGCGTTGTCTGTTTGACCCCAAAGAATCGATGCCCGCCTTTCTCCCGAAATCATTCGGGCATCGGGGCTCGGAAGGCGGTAGTTCCGGTTTTCTTTGAGATGCTGGGTAGGGGCTTCCCCCTGGGCAAGAACAGATACAATGTAGCAAGAACAGGTACAATGTAGCAATGGGGAGCTAGAAATACCTGCAGAAAAACAGCGGTTGTCCTCATGGCTTCCCATATGGTCTAGCGGTTAGGATTCCTGGTTTTCACCCAGGCGGCCCGGGTTCGACTCCCGGTATGGGAATAGTCTGAATTTTGTTTTTTCCTGTCCTGCGCCAACTCGAGTAAACATTCAGCTTTTCCTTTAATGGAAAAATTAAGGTGGGCCGAAGACTTTCAATAAAGTTACTCAGTTTGGGAGGCATGATTTTCACCCGCTTCGGAAGTGATTCTATGCTCCCCGAAAGGACAGCTCAAGATCCCGACGGCTGCAGAGGACGCCTCTGCCCGTCAGGAGGTGCTGTTACGCTTTTTCCCCCCTCCTGACAGGGAGCGGAGCGCTCGCACCCTTTGCCAAGCAAAGCACCGCGTTTGGGACCGCGAGGGCTTCGGGGTGGGTGGGATTCCTCGCTCCGCTTCGGGTCCACTCGCGTCAATCCTCTTGAATTCCGTGGGGCCGCCCACAAACGGAATCTCCGGCTGGGATGCGCATTCACACGAATAGCTGGAATCGCCCCACCATCCCCAAGTCCTTTGGTCTAGCAACTCCGTGTGATGCCGACTCCGCCGCCTCTCCAGCAGGGAAAGGGGGCCTTATCCTGAGCGGACAAGATCAGATGGTGGAAAAAGTACTTCTTGGGACTAAAACTGCCGGCTGGGGGAATCCGGGAGCTTTTGTCCGAAGAAGTGAGGGTTTTTGTAGGCGGGAGAAAAGGAGAAGGTGAATGCAGCCTTGGGAGTAACAGGAAAGGAGCCCTGGGGGATCAGGCGCAAAGTCCAGCGGGCCAGCATCTGCCCCCACACTGGCTCGCCAGCCGTCACAAGGCAACAGCATCGTCCGCCTCGCCTCTCTCGGGAAAGGTCCTGCAGGAGGCGATAAGTAACTGGGGTGTGCCCCCCCCGCCCTCCTCCAGTAGCCACGGAGGCTACTCATCCCCAAGAATTCGCCGGGTCCCCGTCCCCAAACATCCCAGCGGCGGCCCTTAACCGTCCCCCTTGTTTTGCTCAGCGGCCGCTTTGCTTGAAGGGACCTCCGGCCCATAAACCGCGTAAACCAGTCGCGACACCAGAAAGGGGGGCATGTGACTCGCCTTTCCTTTCCGTTACCCCAGAGGTCTGGCAAGAGGTCGGGGTCGGAGAGAGGCGATCTCCTGGTTCCTTTGAGGACGGACGTGCTCCTCTTTCGGAGGCCACCTAGGCTAACAATGTCAAGAACCATTTGAAGCCCATGGACGTCGCCATTCCTTGTGGCGGGGAGTTCCACGAGTTTCTTCTAGGCAGCGCGGCGAATGCAGGCGCAGGAAGGCCACTTTTTAGCCTCCAAGCCTCGACCCTTCGTGGTCTTTATTACTCAAGTCATAAAACACGGCAGCATATGTGAGCGACGCACCGGGGGAGGGGGGAATACAGCAGGGGCTGCCCAGATCTGCCTGCAAAGAGAGCCTCCCCATCCCCCCGGACTCTGCACGTGCTCAGAGGCACCTTCACTGAACTTCGCCCTGCTGCTCGGGCTCGAGTCTCCTCGCCCCACTCACAGCCCCCCGCCCCGAAAGCGGCCTCTGCCCTCCTTAGGGACTAGTAGCCCAGCGAGCCTGTCCATGCGCCGAAAACCCCTCGCAGGGTTGTGGCAAGTTCGCCGGGGAAGTCCACCCGCGGCGCTCGGCGATTGGCTGCCTGAGCGCATCGGGGGCGTGGCCTAGAAAATAAAATCGATCCGCGCCCTAAGTTGGGTCATTATTACGGTCCTGGGCGATTCTGGAGTGTTTATCTCCTTTGGAAGCCTAAGAAGTGCGGCACGGAAGAGGGGGAAGGAAGGAAGGGAGGAAGCCCGTGGCCAGCAGCAGACCAGCATCGATGGAGACCGGAGCTGCGAACGAGACAGGTCAGAGCCGCCTCTTTCCTCCCATTCCTGTTCTGCATGCGCGTCTGTATGTATAGGGGTACACGTGTTCGCACAGGGAATGCTAGAGACCGTTCTTCTTCAGGAATGTTAACCTTTTGTGTATTTGCTGGTTAAATTCAAATAATCCCTTAAGCATTCCTGTTAACGTTCTGTGCGTTTCAGGGGATCTTGCGCGGGGCGGGCGGGGCGGGGGGCCAGCGTTCAAAGGTGCAGACCCGCCCTTTCTGGTCCTCAAAAACTGCCCCGGGAAAACGTGACCGAAATTAGGACTCGTCCCTCCTCATACTGGGTCAAAACTTGCTCGGTTGATCAATTTGAATGAACTGACAATAAGGGTCCCAGCAAAACATCCTCCCTTTTTCTTCTTGGCCCCACTTGGCTGGGGGGCTGAAGCCTTCCCTGAGTCCTGAGCCCCCTCTGTCTTGGGGGGCCCTTGTCGGGCTACTGTGGGATCCCTCGCTCTGGCAGCCCCTCCCCGCTCAAACCCCGGGCTCCTTCGTGGGGAAAATACCAACCCGTGACCGCTCGTCAGTAAGACTAGATGCCCCCCCCAGAGCAGGCATCACCCTCTAGGCTTCTTGGGCATCCAGAATTGGGACCACTGCCAGATTCCCTCCCCCCCCATGCCCGCAGCAACCCCTGGCAAATGAAGATAGTGGGCGTGGTGGTGGGTCCCACCCTTCAGCATCCCGGGAACAAGCCATTATCTGCATCGGGTGTCTTTCATGTTTTGT